CACAAATCCTTGAAAGATCTGGGCAGGGTCCCATCGGTGAGCTCCTCCGGCAGGCAAGGCTGCGATGGCTGGGTCATGTAGCCCGCATGCCCAGCCACCGCATGCCGAAACAGCTTTTGTTTGGCCGGATTGAGGGGGCTAAGCGGGCGCGGCACGGGCTAGAGAAGAGATGGAGTGATGTGGTACAGGAGGACGTGGAGCTGAGTGGACTTGCCGATGACTGGTACCAGCGGTGTCAAGATCGGCCTCTGTGGAGGAGGCTCGTGAAGGATGCTACTGGGCAGTTGGAGGCAGTCGCCCTCCAACAACAACGGAGGGCGGAGGAGCGACGCTCACAACAGCGAGCGGAGCGCCGGGTGGCTAAAGCACAGCAGGTTGGCACAGTAGGGGGCACAGGTGGTGCATCAGCCAGTCATCTCAGTCAGTCGACCCGTGGCACCTGGGTCTGCCCCGTGACCTCCTGCCAGCGGGCGTTCGACACTTCACGTGGCCTCAGGGTGCACATAGCCTGGCACAAGCGTCGTGGTGACGTCACCGCCACTTAGTGGCGAATGGCGGTTGTTGTGTGTGTACACGTGTGTGTGTGTGTGTGTACACGTGTGTGTGTGTGTGTACACTGTGTGTGTGTGTGTGTGTTGCTCCTCTGCGGCGACCACGACAGTGGCGACGTGACCGCTCCGCCTTCTCGAAGCAAACAGAAATGGAATGGCGAGCCGCTTCCGACGGCGTAACTGGGCGGAACAAAGACCCCCACCCACCCCCGTGTAGCCTGCAACACTCTCCCGGGGCAAGTGCTGTTAGCGAGCACCACCTATGAGGGCTCCCGGGCACCGTGGCACACGAGGGAGTGGGCGGCCAGCACCACCACGCCCGGCCGCCTTCGTCCCCCCCAGTGCTCGCGATGTTCACCGCTACACACACACAGCAGCAGCAGCAGCTGCAGGTACTCGGTTGAGGCCGAGTCGACCTAGGGGAGGGCCCACGACCGGTTTCCGACAGTCGCTTTCGCCGGCGTTGGCTGCGAGCGGGAATCGAACCCGGGGTTTGCCAGGTTCGGAGCGTAGCGCTATGCACCCACGTCGCACACAAGCACTTTCCGCAGTGGGGGGGGGGGGGCGGGTTTAAAGGGGGGCCCCCCCCCTCTTCCACATTCGTCACAGACCCCCCCCTCCCCCCCTCACCGCCCCACCTACGACCGGGTCGAGCTGAACACGCCCAGGGGGGGGGGGGGGGGGGGGGGGGGGGGGTCTCGACCGCCCCGGGCGTCTGCCTCTTGCCAGATGGGGCGGCTTTTCGCGACCGCGAGAAATGTGTGGGGGGGGATGTTGTACATACGCACAGACTACGAAAGGCCTCACCCCGTGGCCCCTTGACCCCCCACACTCGCTTCCCCGCCCCCCCCCCCCCCCCCATTCGGCCTTTGGGTAAAGCCACGCGGGTAGAAAAATTGTAACAGGAAAAATGAAAAAAATAAACCACGACCGTTCCCGTTCGTAGCACACAGGCCACTCGCAGGCCTTCCCCGAAGCCCCGTTAAGAGGATGAATTCCCGCAGTCACGAGAGCTTCAGGTCAAGATTTCCCCACCTCTTGTGAAGTGGGGGAACGGCCCAGGGAGGCCCAGGGAGGCCCAGGAAGGCCTCAAGGAGCAGCAACTGGAGAAGGGCAAAGGGGGAGGGGGGGCACCCCCCACCCCCCGCCAGTCTTTTCCAGGTCCACATTCGGCCCCCACCCGCCCCCCTTGACACGACCGCCGGGTGGGGGCCCGAGGGCCGGCGGTGACCCAGGCACGACGGGCCTGCGGCCCACCCCGGGGGCCCTGGGGCCCTCGACGAATCGACGGCGCTGCCCGTGGTGGGGGGCTAAGCGCGCGGCTTGCCAGAGGGTCGCGGCGGAGTCGCGGACTCCGCCGTGGAGGGGGGGGGGGGGGGTAAGACATCTCCGGCTCTGCGCCCCCAAGGGCTACGCGGCCACCCCCTAAACTAGACATCGACGGGGTGGTGGGAGAAAGCTTTATAGCTCATCAAGATTTCCTCCAGTATGAACAAAGCGGTCAAGATTCCCCGGCAAACGGTGCCGAGTTCGACTCGATGGGGCCTGCCTGCCTGCCTGCCTGCCTTGCCGGCCGACTCCCCCCATCGGTCGACCGATGGGGCTTAACAACGCCGCCACCCCCCCCCCCCCCCCCGCGCCCCTCTTAATGAACCACCACCACCACCCACCACAAGACGGGGGAGGATCCCGACCGTGGCTGGTGCTCAACTTCGGGGCGAGCGCCACCACCACCGCTGCCGTCTTCCTCCTCCTCCTCGTCGTCAGTCGGCCACAGGGTCCAGACCACCGGCGGTTTCCGGCATAATTCGGTAACAACTTCACCACCACCACCACCACCACCACCACCCACCACCACCACCCACCACCACCCACCACCACCCACCACCACCACCCGGAGATGGACAATGGGGGGGGAGGGGAGGGCAGGGAACCCAACGTTGAAATGAAAATCACGATGATGACTGGGGGTGTTTTCACCATTTATGTATTGACGTGGGGGGGGGGGGGGGGGGGGGGCACACGTCAGGGGCCTGCACTGAAGGCCACCACGGTGGCCCTGCAATGGAGAACGCTGCTCCATTGAGTGGATCGAGGCAGGGGAAAGAATCAAGAAATCAAGCCCAGGGCCAGGAGTTTGTATGGCCATTGAAGAGAGGTGGTGGGTGGGGGGGGGGGGGGGGAGAGAGAAGAAGGGAAATGGAGGATGGGGGGGGGGGGTGGAAGGCAGGGGAAAAGGAGGATGTGAGAGGGTTGGGAGAGGGGGGGTGGGGGAAAAAAAAGGAAAAAAAAAACGAACCCCATTTGCGAATAGCCACAAAAAGCGCTTCCCCTCGGCACGTTGGGGCCCAGCGTTGGAACTGCAAAACGGCGGCCCGAGGGGGCAAGCGAGCGGCCGGGCCGCGGAGGCCGTGGGGGACACCAAGGAGCCAGGGCGGGGGGGCGGGGGCGTGCGGAGCGCCCCCCCCCCCGTCACACGGGGCTGGGGAGGGCGCCGTTGGTTTTTTGGCCGAGCGCCTGCCCAAGCGGCTCGAACCGCGGCGATCGCGAGCGCGCATCCAGCAAGCGGCTAGGGGACTAGGCCGCAAAAACACCACGTCCTAAGACTGCGCGCACATTTCTCCACGTTGAAGCACAACCTTTGTCCGCTTTTGAACCCAGCCTCTGTTTGAGGCCCAATCTTTCTCCGCTTTGAACCCAGCCGTTCGTTATCCGCTTTCAACCCAATCTTTCTCCGCTTCAATCAAAGCCTTTATCTGCTTTAAAAAAAAACCCAATCTTTCTCTGCTTTAAACCCAGCTTTTCTCCGCTTTGAAAAACAAACCTTCCTTTGCTTTGAACACAGCCCGTTTTAAAGCCAGCCGTTGTTTTGAACGCAGCTTTTCTCTGTCTTCTTTGGTTCTTTCGGTAAAGTCACGTAGAATGAGAATAAAATAATAAATTGATAAAATAAAATAACAATAATATTCTCACGACGTTTCGGCCACAACACAAGCGGCCTTCATCAGGTGAAGGGGCGAGACTGTCTGGTAGGACAGCGCTCCAGCGCGAGACTGTCTGGTAGGACAGCGCTCCAGCGCGAGACTGTCTGGTAGGACAGCGCTGGAGCGCTGTCCTACCAGACAGTCTCACCCCTTCACCTGATGAAGGCCGCTTGTGTTGTGGCCGAAACGTCGTGAGAATATTATTGTGTTATTTTATTTTATCAATTTATTATTTTATTCTCATTCTACGTGACTTTACCGAAAGAACCAAAGAAGATGAATCATTGCAGTCACGAAAGCTTTAAATCGGAGCTTTTCTCTGCTTGAAAAAACCCAACCTTTTTGTTTCAAACCCAGCCTCTCGGCTTTAAACCCAATCTTTGTCCGCTTTAAAAACCCAAACCTTTGTTTTAAACCCAGCCTTTCTCTGCTTTAAAAACCCAACCTCTCTTTTATTTAAAATCCCAGCTTTTCTCTGCTTTAAAAACTCATCCTTTTTGCTTTAAACCCAGCCTGTTTCAAACCCAGCCTCTCGGCTTTAAACCCAATCTTTGTCCGCTTTAAAAACCCAAACCTTTGTTTTAAACCCAGCCTTTCTCTGCTTTAAAAACCCAACCTCTCTTTTATTTAAAATCCCAGCTTTTCTCTGCTTTAAAAACTCATCCTTTTTGCTTTAAACCCAGCCTGTTTCAAACCCAGCCTCTCGGCTTTAAACCCAATCTTTGTCTGCTTTAAAAACCCAAACCTTTGTTTTAAACCCAGCCTTTCTCCGCTTTAAAAACCCAACCTCTCTCTTATTTAAAATCCCAGCTTTTCTCTGCTTTAAAAACTCAACCTTTTTGCTTTAAACCCAGCCTGTTTCAAACCCAGCCTCTCGGCTTTAAACCCAATCTTTGTCTGCTTTAAATGCAACCTTTGTTTTAAACCCAGCCTTTCTCTGCTTTAAAAACCCAACCACTCTCTTATTTAAAATTGCAGCCTTTCTCCGCTTTAAAAACCCCTTTTTTTCCATGCTTTACAACCTGTTTTAAACCCAGCCTTTCTGTTTTAAACCCAGCCTCTCGGCTTTAAACCCAGATTTTCTCTGCTTAAACACCCCAATCTTTCACGGCTGTAAACCCAAACTTTCGCTGCTTTAAACCCAGCCTTTATCTGCCTTAAACCCAACCTGTTTTAAACCCAGCCTCTGCTTTAACTCCATCCTGTAAGGCTGGGGAGGGGCAGCGGTTACGGAAGGGGGTGCTGGGGGTTAAGGGGGGGAAGGGGGAAGGGGGGGTGTACGAGAGCAGGTCACAACGCTTACCGGTTCACAAAAAAACACGAGCGGGTTACAGAAAAACTTTGAACAGCGACACAACGTGCGTCGTTTACGGTGGGGTGGGCGAACGGTAACACAAGGACGTCAACGGTTGCTCCAAAGAAGAAAAAAAAACACACACACGCACACACACGACAGAATGCGGTAAAAGGAATGACGGCCACACCACTCGGCGACATTTATATAATTCTCTTGGCGCCCGAGTCGGTAACAAAGTTCAAAACGACATGACTTGCTGCGCGTGTGCGCGTACACACACGCACACACACACACACGTTGGTACACGGACACAGCGTTTCCCCACGTTGTACTCAAATTTAAAAAAAAAACGGCCATTCTGCCGTCACACGACAAAGGGGGTAAAGGGTGGGTGGAGTAAACTACACCACAGACGAGTGGGTGCGCACGCTCGCGCGTTACAACGCTGCGTGGTGGTGGTGGTGGCGGTGGTGGTGGTGGCGGTGGTGGCGGTGGTGGTGGTGGTGTCGGCGCGTGTACGTGCGTGTACGTGCGTGTTTGTGCGACGAGCTGCTTTCACGGCTGGGGGCGGCGGCGGTCCCGAGCGGACGCGGTATTTTCCACGGCGGCCCGGAGGTGTTGGGGGAAGCCAACGGGACTTACTGAACCCGGCCAAGGCCCTGCGACACCGTCAATTGAATAAGGCCACGGGGGGGTCTGGGTGCTTCGTGCTTTTGGAGTCCCCCGACCCTCTGCTCCAAGCCATTAAAGGGGACCCTTCTCTCATCTGGTACAGATGAAACGGCGAGGCCGATTTTGATGTCCAGCAGCGTTCGAGGGATGGCTCCCTATTGGGCCAATCATGTTAGGTATGCTGAAGATCTGCTCTGCCTGGGTATTTTGTCATCCACTACTCCGTCCCCTCAGCTCCTTTTGGCAGTGGGGCAGTTGTGGAGAAAGTGGAGAGGGGCGTGTCCATACCCGGGGCAGTGTGTTTATGACCAGCTCCGGTTTTGCAGTGCAACGCTGCTGTGTGGAAGCTGCCTGGTCTGTTTCTCCACATGAAGCGTCGGGTCTTCTCGGCCAATCATGCCCTCCCTTCCCTATGCCGGCGAAATGTGGACCCCCCCCTCTAAATGCAGCGTCTGCATCGGTTAGAAACATTTAAGGCTGGCCCTACCTACGATCCAGAGGAGCTCACAAATACTTGAATGATCTGGACACATTCCCATCGGTGAGCTCCTCCGGCAGGCAAGGCTGCGTTGGCTGACTAGAGGGGGCTGAACGGGCGAGGCACGGGCTGGTGAAGAGATGGACTGCTGCAGTCCAGGACTCTGTGGAGCCGAGCGGACTTGCCGAAGACAAGTACCAAAGGTGTCCCAGATCGGCCTCTGTGGAAGAGGCTCGTCAAGGATGCTACTTGGCCAGTTTGGGGGCAGTCGCCCCTCCAGCAAAGAGCAGAGAGGCGACGCTCACAATAACGAGCGGAGCACCGGGCAGCTAAAACACAGCAAGCTGGCCAAAGGTGGTAACGCATCTGCCAATCTGTCAGCCAGTCAACCCATGGCACCTGGGTGTCCCGTGAACCTCCTGCCAGCGGCGAGCCTTCCGACACTTCACTTGACCTCAAAGTGCACCTGGGCCTGGCACAAGCCCCGTGGGTGACAGCTGTTGTTGTGTGTCGTCAGTGTGTCAGTGTGTGTGTGTCTATGTCTCTAACAGCACTTGCCCCAACGGTCCGTGAAGGCTATGCGGCGGGGGGTGGGAATCTTTAGTGTGAGTGGTCGTGAGCGTGCGGAGTAAGAGCGTTCGTGCAGCCGTTTGTACGGGCGCTACAGGCGCGCGAGAGTGTCTGTACGAGTGTGGGAGAGCTTCATTTGTGCGAGCGACTGCATGGGTGGACAGGCGTTCGTGCGAGCGTTCATCAAGTGTTCATCACGTGCACGTGCGCGAGTGCGTGTGCGTGTGAGTGCGTGCGTTACACCACCAACAGCTCACAAAGACCCCGGAAGGTGAACAGTTTTGTTTTACACGTCACGTCAACGGTAGAGACACGGGTACAGCCCACGTACCAAACGTTTTCTAGAAGGGAAGGGGGAGGGGGGGGGAGGCAGAGACACAGGTACGCAACACGCACAGACACAAAATTGCACACGCACAGACACCAACAGAGACAGAGACACACAGAGAGACAGAGAGAGAGAGAGACAACGAGAGACAGACACAGACGGACGGCAAGAGCCGTTATCAACAAGGCCGGTTCGACGACACTTGGGGTCATATGTACAGGTCGACACGGTAACCACAACAACGCATTTTGGCCACGGGTGCAGAAGGAGGTTCTCAACGCTTGGGGGTTGGGGGTTGGGGGTTGGGGGGGGGGGGGTGGAACGGCGGCTGGCGACGGCAACACGGTAACGCGCAGCGACCGGCGAGCCGCGGACTAAAACCAAGGGGGGGCCCCCCCTCTTCTTCTCACGTTACCCGGGCAATGAGAGCTGTCGTGCGGCTCTTATTGGTTTTGGTCTTTTTTGTTTTGTTTGTTTGTTTGGCAAGCCCCCCAGAGAGCCTGGGGATACCGCGGATGACGGGAGCTCGGCGAAGCGGCCGCGTAGGGAAATTTCAAGGCAGCGGCCGAAATTTGGTTCTTAAAACGTGCGCGGCGACGTCGATTGAGAGAGTGCGGAGGAGGGGGGCGGAGAGGGGGAACCGGCAAAGGAGCCGGGGGACGGAAAATCCACGCGGTGACCACCACCACCACCACGGGGAAAGAGAGCGAGAGCAAGAGCGAGCGAGAGAGAGAGAGACTTAGGAGAGAGACGCGCAGAGAGAAGGCCACAAATGCCAAACGACTCGGCAGCGGGCGATGTCGGGGCCGGCGGTCGAGCCCACGACACACCTCCCCCCCCCCCTTTGCGTGCCGGGCGAGGTAGCCAACATCTCCTAGAAACCGCGGCCGCCCCCGGCGCCCCCGGCGCCCCCGCCCCCGCCCGCCTAGCCACTCACCTTCAACGTCCTTCATTTAGCCACGAGAACGCCCCCCCACCCACCCACACCTCCACCCCACCGAGATTCACCGTCTCTCGACCGGCTGACGAACTTCCACGACCCCCCGCCCCGGCCCCCGCCCCTGCCCGCGCCCCCCCCCGCCCCCCCCCGCCCCCCCCTCGTCATCTAAGCAGCTGGTGAGAGAGGCGTCCCAGCGAGGGGAACGCTGCAGTGGCGCTGATTCGGTCTTCCTGCTCCCTCCCGTCGAAGAAGCAGAAGCAGAAGTTGGGCCACCCCCCCCCCCCCACCACTACTACCTCCTCACCCCCCCCACTCCACACCCCCCCCCCACTCCCTACCCCCCCCCACTCCCTACCCCCCCCCCACTCCCTACACCCCCCCACTCCCTACACCCCCCCACTCCCTACACCCCCCCACTCCCTACACCCCCCACTCCCTACACCCCCCACTCCCTACACCCCCCCACTCCCTCCCCCCCCCCCACTCCCTACCCCTGCCCCCATTCCCTCCCCCCCCAACCCCCCACTCCCTACCCCCCCACTCCCTCCTCCCCCAACCCCCCCACTCCCTACCCCCCCCCCCCCCACTCCCTACCCCCCCAACCCCCCCACTCCCTACCCCCCCACTCCCTACCCCCCCCACTCCCTACCCCCCCACTCCCTACCCCCCCACTCCCTACCCCCCCCCACTCCCTACCACCTATAGGGACACATACAGACCCACAGAGACCCATACAGACCCATAGAGACACAGAGACCCATAGAGACACATACAGACCCATAGAGACCCATATAGACCCACAGAGACACATACAGACCCATAGAGACACATACAGACCCATAGAGACATAGAGACCCATAGAGACCCATACAGACCCATAGAGACACATACAGACCCATAGAGATACATACAGACCCAGAGACCCATAGAGACCCATAGAGACACATACAGACCCATAGAGATACATACAGACCCATAGAGACCCATAGAGACACATACAGACGCAGAGACACATACAGACCCACAGAGACCCATACAGACCCATACAGACCCATAGAGACACAGAGACCCATAGAGACACATACAGACCCATAGAGACCCATACAGACCCACAGAGACACATACAGACCCACAGAGACACATACAGACCCATAGAGACATAGAGACCCATAGAGACCCATACAGACCCATAGAGACACATACAGACCCATAGAGATACATACAGACCCAGAGACCCATAGAGACCCATAGAGACCCATAGAGACACATACAGACCCATAGAGACCCATACAGACCCATAGAGACCCATAGAGACACATAGAGACACATACAGACGCAGAGACACATACAGACCCATAGAGACACATAAAGACTCATAGAGACACATAGAGACACATACAGACCCATAGAGACACATACAGACCCATAGAGACACATACAGACCCATAGAGACACATACAGACCCATAGAGACCCATAGAGACACATAGAGACACATACAGACCCATAGAGACACAGATACAGACCCATAGAGACCCATAGACACACATACAGACCCACAGAGACCCACATACAGACCCATAGAGACACATACAGACCCATAGAGACACATAGAGACCCATAGAGACACATACAGACACATACAGACCCATAGAGACATATAGAAACCCATAGAAACCCATAGAGACACATATAGACCCATCGAGACACATACAGACCCATACAGACCCATAGAGACACATACAGACACATACAGACACATAAAGACCCATAGAGACCCAGAGACACATACAGACCCATAGAGATACATACAGACCCATAGAGACACATACAGACCCATAGAGACACATACAGACCCATATAGACCCATATAGAGACCCATAGAGACCCATAGAGAGACCCATAGAGACCCATACAGAGACCCATAGAGATACAGAGACCCATAGAGACCCATACAGAGACCCATAGAGACCCATACAGAGACCCATAGAGACCCATACAGAGACCCATACAGAGACCCAGAGAGATACAGAGACCCATAGAGACCAATAGAGATACAGAGACCCATACAGATACAGAGACCCATAGAGACCCATAGAGACCCATAGAGATACAGAGACCCATAGAGATACAGAGACCCATAGACCCATAGAGATAGAGACCCATACAGACCCATAGAAATACAGAGACCCATAGAGACCCATACAGACCCATAAAGATATAGAGACCCATAGAGACCCATAAAGATACAGAGACCCATAGAGACCCATAGAGACCCATAGAGACCCACAGAGACCCAGAGATAGAGACCCATAGAGACCCATAGAGACACATACACACCCATAAAGATAAAGAGACCCATAGAGACCCATACAGACCCATAAAGATAGAGACCCATAGAGACCCATAGAGATACAGAGACCCATAGAGACCCACAGAGACCCATAGAGATACAGAGACCCATAGAGACCCATAGAGACACATACACACCCATAAAGATAAAGAGACCCATAGAGACCCATACAGACCCATAAAGATAGAGACCCATAGAGACCCATAGAGATACAGAGACCCATAGAGACCCATAGAGACCCATAGAGACACATACAGACCCATAAAGATACAGAGACCCATAGAGACCCATATAGAGATACAGAGACCCATAGAGACCCATAGAGACACATACAGACCCATAAAGATACAGAGACCCATAGAGACCCATACAGAGACCCATAGAGACCCATACAGAGACCCACAGAGACACAGAGAGAGGCCTGGCCATCTCACAAAACAATCGTAGCTCAACCAAGCGGAAAGTCATCAATACTCCGTATTCACCGGGGAGTCCGGCCGGATTCCAACCTCAACAATCCCTCTGCCGGGCATTAGCACGGTAGGTGCGGCGTGGTACGTCAGCGCGGTAGGTAGGCGGGGAGAGGTACGTTATCGCTGGTAGGCGCGGTGAGATGCGTCAGCGCGGTATGCCGGCGTGGTAGGCAGGGTCAGCGTGGTACGTCGGCGTGGTAGGTAGTAGGTAGTAGGCGTGGTACGTCGGCGTGGTAGGTAGTAGGTAGTAGGTGTGGTACGTCAGCGTGGTAGGTAGTAGGCGAGGTACGTCAGCGTGGTAGGTAGTAGGCGTGGCGTGGTACGTCAGCGTGGTAGGTAGTAGGTAGTAGGCGTGGTACGTCAGCGTGGTAGGTAGTAGGTAGTAGGCGTGGTACGTCAGCGTGGTAGGTAGTAGGCACGGCGTGGTATGTCAGCGTGGTAGGTAGTAGGCGTGGCTTGGTACGTCAGCGTGGTAGGTAGTAGGTGTGGTACGTCAGCGTGGTAGGTAGTAGGCAGTAGGTGTGGTACGTCAGCGTGGTAGGTAGTAGGCGTGGTACGTCAGCGTGGTAGGTAGTAGGTGTGGTACGTCAGTGTGGTAGGTAGTAGGTAGTAGGTGTGGTACGTCAGCGTGGTAGGTAGTAGGCGTGGTACGTCAGCGTGGTAGGTAGTAGACGTGGTACGTCAGCGTGGTAGGTAGTAGGCGTGGTACGTCAGCGTGGTAGGTAGTAGGTAGTAGGCACGTCAGCGTGGTAGGTAGTAGGTAGTAGGCGTGGTACGTCAGCGTGGTAGGTAGTAGGCGTGGTACGTCAGTGTGGTAGGTAGTAGGCACGGCGTGGTAGGCGTGGTAGGCACGGCGTGGTAGGTGGTAGGCACGTCAGCGTGGTAGGTGGTAGGCGGTAGGTACGTCAGTGTGGTAGGTAGTAGGCGTGGTACGTCAGCGTGGTAGGTAGTAGGCGAGGTACGTCAGCGTGGTAGGTGGTAGGTGTGGTAGGTGTGGTAGGCGTGGTAGGCGTGGTAGGCGTGGTAGGTGTGGTAGGCGTGGTAGGTGTGGTACGTCAGCGTGGTAGGTGTGGTAGGTGTGGTAGGCGTGGTAGGCGTGGTAGGCGTGGTAGGTGTGGTAGGCGTGGTAGGCGTGGTAGGCGTGGTAGGCGTGGTAGGTGTGGTAGGTCAGCGTGGTAGGTAGTAGGCGTGGTACGTCAGCATGGTAGGTAGCAGGCACGGCGTGGTACGTCAGTGTGGTAGGTAGTAGGCGTGGTACGTCAGCGTGGTAGGTAGCAGGCACGGCGTGGTACGTCAGTGTGGTAGGTAGTAGGTGTGGTACGTCAGCGTGGTAGGTAGTAGGCATGGTACGTCAGCGTGGTAGGTAGTAGGTGTGGCGTGGTACGTCAGCGTGGTAGGTAGAAGGCGTGGTACGTCAGCGTGGTAGGTAGCAGGCACGGCGTGGTACGTCAGCGTGGTAGGTAGTAGGTGTGGCGTGGTACGTCAGCGTGGTAGGTAGAAGGCGTGGTACGTCAGCGTGGTAGGTGGTACGTCAGCGTGGTAGGTAGAAGGCGTGGTACGTCAGCGTGGTAGGTGGTACGTCAGCGTGGTAGGTAGAAGGCGTGGTACGTCAGCGTGGTAGGTAGTAGGCACGGCGTGGTACGTCAGCGTGGTAGGTAGTAGGCGTGGTACGTCAGCGTGGTAGGTGGTACGTCAGCGTGGTAGGTAGTAGGCACGGCGTGGTAGGCGTGGTAGGCACGGCGTGGTAGGTGGTAGGCACGTCAGCGTGGTAGGTGGTAGGCACGTCAGCGTGGTAGGTGGTAGGCGGTAGGTACGTCAGTGTGGTAGGTAGTAGGCGTGGTAGGTAGTAGGCATGGCGTGGTAGGCACGGCGTGGTACGTCAGCGTGGTAGGCACAGCGTGGTAGGTGGTAGGCGTGGTAGGCGTGGTACGTCAGCGTGGTAGGTAGTAGGTGTGGTACGTCAGCGTGGTAGGTAGTAGGCGAGGTACGTCAGCGTGGTAGGTGTGGTAGGTGTGGTAGGCGTGGTAGGTGGGGTAGGTGTGGTAGGCGTGGTAGGTGTGGTAGGCGTGGTAGGCGTGGTAGGTGTGGTAGGTGTGGTAGGTGTAGTAGGTGTGGTAGGCGTGGTAGGCGTGGTAGGTGTGGTAGGTGTGGTAGGTGTGGTAGGCGTGGTAGGCGTGGTAGGTGTGGTAGGTGTGGTAGGCACGTCAGCGTGGTAGGTGTGGTAGGTGTGGTAGGTGTGGTAGGTGTGGTAGGCGTGGTAGGCACGGCGTGGTAGGTGGCAGGCACGGCGTGGTAGGCGTGGTAGGTGTGGTAGGCGTGGTAGGTGGTAGGCACGTCAGCGTGGTAGGTGTGGTAGGCGTGGTACGTCAGCGTGGTAGGTGTGGTAGGTGTGGTAGGTGGTAGGCACGTCAGCGTGGTAGGTGGTAGGTGTGGTAGGTGTGGTAGGTGTGGTAGGCGTGGTAGGTGTGGTAGGTGTGGTAGGCACGTCAGTGTGGTAGGTGGTAGGTGTGGTAGGTGGTAGGTGTGGTAGGTGGTAGGTGTGGTAGGTGTGGTACGTCAGCGTGGTAGGTGGTAGGTGGTAGGTACGTCAGCGTGGTAGGTGTGGTAGGTGCGGTAGGTGTGGTAGGCGTGGTAGGTGTGGTAGGCGTGGTAGGTGTGGTAGGTGTGGTAGGTGTGGTAGGTGGTAGGTGTGGTAGGTGTGGTAGGTGTGGTAGGTGGTAGGTGTGGTAGGTGTGGTAGGCACGTCAGTGTGGTAGGTGTGGTAGGTGTGGTAGGTGTGGTAGGTGTGGTAGGTGGTAGGTGTGGTAGGTGGTAGGTGTGGTAGGTGGTAGGTGTGGTAGGTGTGGTAGGCACGTCAGTGTGGTAGGTGTGGTAGGTGTGGTAGGTGTGGTAGGTGGTAGGTGTGGTAGGTAGTAGGTGTGGTAGGTGTGGTAGGTGTGGTACGTCAGCGTGGTAGGCGTGGTAGGCGTGGTAGGTGTGGTAGGCGTGGTAGGTGTGGTAGGTGTGGTAGGCGTGGTAGGCGTGGTAGGTGTGGTAGGTAGTAGGTGTGGTAGGTGTGGTAGGTGTGGTACGTCAGCGTGGTAGGTGTGGTAGGTGTGGTAGGCGTGGTAGGTGTGGTAGGTGGTAGGTGTGGTAGGCGTGGTACGTCAGCGTGGTAGGTAGTAGGCGTGGTAGGTGGTAGGCACGGCGTGGCACGTCAGCGTGGTAGGTAGTAGGTACGTCAGCGTGGTAGGTAGTAGGCACGTTAGCGTGGTAGGTGGTAGGTGTGGTAGGTGTGGTAGGTGTGGTAGGCGTGGTACGTCAGCGTGGTAGGTGTGGTAGGTGTGGTAGGTGTGGTAGGTGTGGTAGGTGGTAGGTGTGGTAGGTGGTAGGTGTGGTAGGTGGTAGGCACGTCAGCGTGGTAGGTGGTAGGTGTGGTAGGTGTGGTAGGTGGTAGGTGTGGGTAGGCGTGGTAGGTGTGGTAGGTGTGGTACGTCAGCGTGGTAGGTGGTAGGTGTGGTAGGTGTGGTAGGTGTGGTACGTCAGCGTGGTAGGTGTGGTAGGTGGTAGGCGTGGTAGGTGGTAGGTGTGGTAGGTGTGGTACGTCAGCGTGGTAGGTGTGGTAGGTGTGGTACGTCAGCGTGGTAGGTGTGGTAGGTAGTAGGTGTGGTAGGTGTGGTACGTCAGCGTGGTAGGTGTGGTAGGTGTGGTAGGTGTGGTAGGTGGTAGGTGTGGTAGGTGGTAGGTGTGGTAGGTATGTCAGCGTGGTAGGCGTGGTAGGTGTGGTAGGTGGTAGGTGTGGTAGGTATGTCAGCGTGGTAGGCGTGGTAGGTGTGGTAGGTGGTAGGTGTGGTAGGTGCGGGTACCTGTGGGGTCAGTACGGTTTGCCGTCGTTCTTGTTGCGCTTCAGCTGAACCTTCAGACGCTTCATCCCAATCTGGAAGCCGTTCATGGCCTGGATGGCCGCCTGGGCTGAGGCCGCAGAGTCATAGCTCACAAAGCCTGCGGATGTGTGGGTGGGGCACGCCAAGGTGGGCGGGTCAGCTGGTGGGCGGGTGGGTGGGTGAGTTGGTGGGCGGGTGGGTGGGTGGGCGAGTTGGTGGGTGGGCGAGGGAGTGGGTGGGTGGGTGGGCGAGTTGGTGGGTGGGTGGGCGAGTGGGTGGGCGGGTGAGCGAGTTGGTGGGCGGGTGAGCGAGTTGGTGGGCGGGTGGGTGAGTTGGTGGGCGGGTGGGTGGGTGGGCGAGGGAGTGGGCGGGTGGGTGAGTTGGTGGGCGGGTGGGCGAGTGGGAGGGCGAGTGAGGGAGTGGGCGGGTTGGTGGGTGAATTGGTGGGTGGATGAGTTGGCGAGTGGGTGGGCGAGTGAGGGAGTAGGCAGGTGGGTGAGTTGGTGGGCGGGCGAGTGAGGGAGTGGGCGGGTGGGTGGGTGAGTTGGTGAGCGAGTGGGTGGGCGAGTGGGTGGGTGAGTTGGTGGGTGAGTTGGTGAGCGAGTGGGTGGGCGAGTGGGTGGGGCGAGTGAGGGAGTGGGCGGGTGGGTGGGCGAGTTGGTGGGCGGGTGGGCGGGCGAGTGAGTGGGCAGGTGGGTGAGTTGGTGAGTGTGCGGGTGAGCGGGTGGGCGAGTGGGTGGGCGGGTGAGCAAGTGGGCGGGCGGGCGAGAGGGCGACGAGTGGGTGGATGACTGGGTCGGTGCATGGGCGAGTAGGTGAGCGAGTAGGTGAGCGAGTGGGTGAGCGAGTGGGTGAGCGAGTGGGTGAGCGAGTGGGTGAGCGAGTGGGTGAGCGGGTGGGTGAGCGAGCGGGTGAGCGAGTGGGTGTGCGAGCGGGTGAGCGAGTGGGTGAGCGAGCGAGTGAGTGAGCGGGTAAGCGAGCGGGTGAGCGAGCGGGTGAGCGAGTGGGTGAGCGAGTGGGTGAGCGAGCGGGTGAGCGGGTGGGTGAGCGACTGGGTACAATCTGTGTAAGTGCCAGTGCCATGTGGCGGTGAGATCCGCGGGTGTGTGCCCGTCAGTGCGAGCCGAGTAAGTTCACCGAAGCACTTGCTGATCTTGGTGATGCGGTCGATGAACACCTTGGCCGACACGACGTTGCCGAACGGCACGAACATCTGCATGAGGTCGCAGTCCATGAACTCCTGGGGTAGGTGGTACACGAACAGATTCGCTCCCTCCGGGCCTACACGGGGCGAGAGAGAGAGAGAGACACGGGTGAAGAGAGGAGGGAGGAGAGAGACACGGAGGGGACGAGAGGTACGTCCGTGAATGCCTCGGCACACATCGGCAAAAACGCGTTTCCGGCGGTCGGAGATCGGATCGCCGTTCTTTCCCCTAGTGATGGTAATGGGTGCGGCGCTGGAGGTTACTTTTTTGATGGAGTTAAAGAGCGATTTGTGATCGCGGGCCATTGAGGCAGACTCCATCTCCCTCAGCAACCCGCGACCACCACCCATCATCGTTGCAGCGCCTCACGGCTCTCCGAACCTCCGAGCGAAGGCTGCGGTAAGCCTCCTCATTTCTCCGATGTGGGATGCTGGAGACGGTGAGAGTGGACCTGTCGCTTTTTGCTCAGCCAGCCTGAACACCTCCTCTGTCAGCCAGGGTCTCTGGGGAGGTCTGGACCGCGTACCCAAAGCAGCCATTGCAGCTGCATGAGTCACAGTCCTAAACCTCGCCCATTTACCCTCGACATCAGGAGGAGTGGGGGACGATGCCAACCCCAGCCGCAAGCGATGATGAAATTCTCGCTTGCAACTTTCATCAGATAACTGAGACCAGGCCACTTTAGGTTGGAATGGGGTCCTGGGTGTACACCCACCACCAGAGTGGACGAATGGCATGCGCATCTTACAGATGACTAGTCGATGGTCAGAGGGCAGATCAGCTCCACGGTAGGTCCTGGTGTCAAGGACATGGGCTCGCATCCGCTGGTCCGTCACTATATAGTCCAGCAGATGTTCTTGCTTGGACCCGGCATGCATCCATGATGTTGTGTGGATGCGCCGATGCCGGAACAGCGTGTTGGTAATTACAAGCCCATGAGCTGCACAAAAATCTAGCAGCCTCCTACCATTGTTATTGAGCTGATCTGGCCCATGCCCTCCAATCACTCCAGACCAGGTACCAGTATCATGACCAACTCGGGCATTGAAGTCACCCAACAAGACGACTCTATCCCGAGGGGCCACTTTAGCCAGCACCTGTGACAGGAGGTCATAGACAGGCATCCGGACTCATCGGCCTTGTGCCTGCATCCCTCCACGGATGTTCGTCTTTGGTGGGGGCATAAGCAACCACGACCACCACCATTCCTCGCCTCCGGTTGATGGGAAGGCGAGCCCAAAGTAGCCCAGGGATTTACAGCTTCCCACACCTCACCGACACGCTCCCACGCCCCCCCCCCCCCCCCCCATTAATTATTTTGTTCAGAAGAAGAGCCGCACTCCTGTTGTTTGGCAGTCCGCTGCCCCGAGTGGAGGACTGTCCACCCCTCACGGAGGCGGCCCTCCGGTCCCTCCTGATCACGGCAGAGATCCGGGCGGTACCGGTCCACCCACCCCCGCCACCCCGACAGAGGAGCGGACAAACACGGTCCGAACCTTGCACGTTGATCCAGTCTCCTCGCTGCTCCCAAACGTGGTTTTGTGGCCAGGGGACTCCACAGACGCCGCCGCTCCCTCCCACCCAGGGGGGAATCCGGCACCGACAATGGCTACCATTATCGCCCGCTAACTTTGCACTTGTGGCCAGGACAGCGAGATTTTTTTTAACGCGCCTCCCTGTCTCCCTCCCCCCGGCCCCCCACTTTCAAGGAGAAAACGGGCAAAAAAATTTTTTGCCTTTCCCGTAAAGTCCACAAAAGTCAAAGTTCGTGGGTGATGATGACGACGATAACGATAATAATAATAGCCATTCTCTCTCTGTGCTTTGTGATTATTTTTTTTTAGGCTCAAGCAATTTTTTAAAAGAAACAACGCTTATTTATTTCAAGGTGGAGGGGGGGGGTAGAGGGGGGGGGAGGGGGGGGAGGGGGGGGAGGGGGGGGAGGGGGGGGGGGGTACCAGCCACTAGCACCGGCCCAGAGCCCCCCCCCCCCCCCCCCACTTAGCCCGCTGTGGTGGCTGCAAAACCGTCGCGGCAACGGTCACCCCTCCAAACCGGCACGACCCCCCGACCCCTGACCCCCACGACCCCCACGACCCCACGACCCCCGGACGCACCCTCCTTGTGACTGCCCGCCGCCATGCCGAACCCCAGCTGCTGCCCCTGCTGCTGCCCCTGCTGATGCTGCTGCTGCTGCTGCTGATGCTGCTGGAACAGTCCCTGCTGATGCTGCTGCTGCTGATGCTGCTGCTGCTGTCCCCCGCCGTACAGGCTGGGCAAGGCGGAGGCTGCGTACTGCTGCATGCCCGTGTAGGCCTGAGCCATCGTGTCGGCACGGCTCCCGCCCAGGCCTGGGAGGTCGGGGGGGAGGGAGGGGAGAGGGGGAGGGGGGGGAGGGGAGGGGGGGAGGGGAGGGGAGAGGGGAGGGGAGGTTACCAACCCATGGTGTGGTCCCCGTACAGAGGAGACACGTGTCTCCCCGTGTGAGTCTCCCTGTGTGAGTCTCCCCGTGTGAGTCTCCCCGTGTGAGTCTCCCCGTGTGAGTCTCCCCGTGTGAGTCTCCCCGTGTGAGTCTCCCCGTGTGAGTCTCCTCGTGTCTCCCCCCGTGTCTCCCCTATTTCTGCCCCGTGTGTGTCTCCCCGTGTCTCCCCCTGACTCCCCGTGTCTCCCCGTGTCTCCCCTATATCTGCCCCGTGTGAGTCTCCCTGTACGAGTCTCCCTGTGTGAGTCTCCCTGTGTGAGTCTCCCTGTGTGAGTCTCCCTGTGTGAGTCTCCCTGTGTGAGTCTCCCTGTGTGAGTCTCCCTGTGTGAGTCTCCCTGTGTGAGTCTCCCTGTGTGAGTCTCCCTGTACGAGTCTCCCTGTGTGAGTCTCCCTGTGTGAGTCTCCCCGTGTCTCCCCGTGTGAGTCTCCCCGTGTCTCCCCCGTGTCTCCCTGTGTCTCCCCGTGAGTCTCCCCGTGTCTCCCCGTGTGAGTCTCCCCGTGTCTCCCCCGTGTCTCCCTGTGTCTCCCCGTGAGTCTCCCCGTGTCTCCCCGTGTGAGTCTCCCCGTGTCTCCCCCGTGTCTCCCTGTGTCTCCCCGTGAGTCTCCCCGATGTCTCCCCCGTGTCTCCCCCGTGTCTCCCCCGTGTCTCCCCCGGGTCTCCCCCGTGTCTCCCCCGTGTCTCCCCGTGTCTCCCCGTGTCTCCCCCGTGTCTCCCCGAAGTCTCCCCCGTGTCTCCCCCTGTCTCCCCGTATCTCCCCCGTGTCTCCCCCGTGTCTCCCCCGTGTCTCCCCCGTGTCTCCCCCGTGTCTCCCCGTGTCTCCCCCGATGTCTCCCCCGTGTCTCCCCCGTGTCTCCCCGAAGTCTCCCCCGTGTCTCCCCGTGTCTCCCCGTGTGAGTCTCCCCGTGTCTCCCCCGTGTCTCCCCCGTGTCTCCCCCTGTCTCCCCGTGTCTCCCCCGTGTCTCCCCGATGTCTGCCCTGTGTCTCCCCCGTGTCTCCCCCCGTGTCTCCCCGTGTCTCCCCCGTGTCTCCCCCGTGTCTCCCCGTGTCTCCCCGATGTCTGCCCCGTGTCTCCCCGTGTCTCCCCGTGTCTCCCCCGTGTCTCCCCCGTGTCTCCCCGTGTCTCCCCCGTGTCTCCCCCTGTCTCCCCGTATCTCCCCCGTGTCTCCCCCGTGTCTCCCCCGTGTCTCCCCCGTGTCTCCCCGTGTCTCTCACCAGATCCGGATCCCATCGAGCCCATCCCAGACCCGGAGCTCCCACCGCCCCCGAAGCCGCCCCCCCCCATTCCCCCGCCCCCCCCAACAGAGCCCCCCCAAACCCACCCAGCCCAGACCCTGAGAGACTCGAGCCTGAGTTCATCGCTGGAGGGAGACACGGGGGGGGGGGGGGGGGGGGGGAGACACGGGGGGAGGGAGACACGGGGGGGAGGAGGGGAGGGAGACACGGGGGGAGGGAGACACGGGGAGGAGGGAGACACGGGGGGAGGGAGACACGGGGAGAGGGAGACACAGGGGGGAGGGGAGGGAGACACGGGGGAGAGGGAGACACGGGGGGGAGGGGAGGGAGACACGGGGGGAGGGAGACACGGGGGGAGGGAGACACAGGGGGGAGGGGAGGGAGACACGGGGGAGAGGGAGACACGGGGAGAGGGAGACACGGGGAGAGGGAGACACGGGGGGAGGGAGACACGGGGAGAGGGAGACACAGGGGGGAGGGGAGGGAGACACGGGGAGAGGGAGACACAGGGGGGAGGGGAGGGAGACACGGGGGGAGGGAGACACGGGGGGGAGAGGTGGGGGGAGGGGTG